GTACAGGATGGTTCTACCCTCTGAACATCCTCATTTCCCTCGATGTGAGCCACGTGCCTGCCATCCCCAAGTCTGTGATATGCGAGACTTTCCTGAGTGCTGGGTGAAGTTGGACTTCCCTGCATTTAACCAAAATGCCCTTCACTTGAATTCCCAGAGAGTGTCACCTTGTCCCAGCATTTGGTCTTCTGGTGAACACATCCTCATTATGCATGATTTTATGGATTTAGAGCCTGCCCTTACTATCGTTATTGTAATCTCCATTCTGGTTGACTGCCAGAGACAACAGTTCAGCTTAGTTATTTTAAAGTTTAATTTTTCCTCTAGCTTTGAATTTTCTGGCTGAAAAGTTATTGGGAGCATAAAACTGCGGGGCACTTTAAGCTTCTAAGTCTCTGCAGTCAAGTTACTTTGTGTCGTGTGGAATTATAGGGGCTGTTCTTTCTCAAAGAAGTCCTGTATGAATTCTTATAAATCCACTTAAGTCCCTGCTTACAGTTGCAAGAAAATTAGATCCTCCACCTTAAATAAGTTGACTGTGTATTGAAACTATTTAAGCTGTAATTGTACTCTTTTCTTAATGAATCTAAACTTACATTGGAATGGCAATGATATATGAGGCACTTAAAACTAACTGTTAACGCCGCTTCCTGCATATTATTTTAAAATAAATAAATGTTCATTGGTTAAGTGGATATTCTTCCTCATCAACAAAGGATGCAACAAGGATGGCAAAAGTCATTAGCATAATACAAATGCTTGCAAAAGGACTTTGGAATGCCCAAACTAAAAACATACACTACCAAGGACTTGGAAAGAATTTCAAGCTGCAAGGCCAAAGAATCTACTGCATATTAATCTTCTTTATCAAAAAGTTGATTTCGAGCACTGAAGACAAAAATAAGCTTATTGTGCAACAGCGGAAAAAAAAAGCTTAGAGGCTGCAAGGCATGGTGGAAAGATGCTACACTGGGGAGCAGGGGATCTGGTGGTCCTAATTTTGTCACTGATTACCTTTGAAACTTTTAGCCAGGCATTTCAGCCCTGTGAACACGCATTTTCCCATCTCTAAAAGAGGGGATAAAGTATGTTTTTCCAGGGTTTTTTCCTGACAAACAGAATCTCAGAGAGGTTTTCTGACCTAACCAAGGCGGCAGAATCCAGAGAAAGAGTTTTAAAAACGCCTCACTGACATACAACTGCAGGCCTGCCTCCCGAGGGCACTTGAGTCTGTTAAGTGGAAGCGTGCATGCAGACTCACCCAGCTGTCACCCTCGGAGAGGACCAAGTAAACGTGTCGAACTTATATGAAGTCCTAAGTGGGACTGTTAAAAAGCCCCTTTGCACAATTAGAAAACTGGCGATTCTTCTTCTCTGCTTTCACCGCCCCCTCTGGAAACTACACAATTCTGAAAATTTGCTTAAAGTATCTTCTTAACGTTAACATTATGAATACATGGGGGGTGGCTTCAGACAACAGACAGTCTGCACTTAAGATGAGAAATCCACTGAGTATGAAGGGAATCTATGATTTCATATTATTTCCCTCAATTTTTCCTGACACATATTTTGACAATTTTTCTCTCGGTTCCTACTTTCCCTGTTAGAATACAAGTACATTCCTTTCTGCACACGTTCTGCACTGTCATCATGCCTCGGGAGCATGTGCTGAGAGACTGAGTTAAGAGTTCTCCCGAGGAGATGTTAGCAACTGATGTATTAAGGCCATGAAGACACGGTGGGCCTGGAGGCCGGGGAGCTCAGCATCCCTCAGCAAAGAGGGCTCTATAACACGCACTGTAAGATTAATGCATAGGCATGCAATTTCTAGGAATTAACATCAGGGGCTATAAAATTTATTTTTCAGATATATTTACATATTGCTTTGAATCATTTAGCCTACTGTATGCCTAGTAACACCCTGCAGTGCAGCCTGATGTATACACAGTTCACTGTGTCCTTAAGACACTAACCTACTGCCTGCCTACAAGGTATAAGATGATCAATATAAAACTAAACTTAAAATTTGAAGTGTACATTTGTGCTTTTAGGGGAAAAGCTGAGAGTGCACACGCCTGGAGTATGAAATTCTATTATTTCAAAAAGGATTTTCAGCTATATGATCACACCTCAAGAGGAAAAATATACCTATGTTTAAAATCCATTATAATGAAGCATTTTGATATACCAATTTACAAGGACTTCAGAGATATACAGATTTGAGAAAAAAAACTCAGTTCAAAGGTTCACTACTACACTGGAATACCGAAGTAATACAAAACTTTAACATTCTCTTTTCTAACATTTTCTAAATGATCATTAAACTTTCTTTATAGCTCCATCACTTTTCCTGCTTCTTGTCCTTTTTCCTCCCCAAGTCAATTGCTCAAATGCAGTATGAGTTGTAGCCCTTATTTCTGTCTCCCAGGCAAGATGCTATTAGGGGTCACTTCCCATGTACGGAGAAAACAATCTTCATGGATAATAATGATAAAACCTTATGGAATGCAAAAACAACCAAAATATGTATTCTCGGATGACTGCATCAGGGCCAAGTCAATATTAGTCCCACTTCACCCACGCACTGCATAGTCTAAAAATGCTGTCAGCCTGATAAGAATTTCCTGATTTACTCTTTTTTCCAATAAAAAATATAGGTCATCAAAATAAACTCCTGACAGTAAAAGAACAGTAGTCACACCATCAAGTCTCTTTTTATTTTGCTGGCCGGTGAGGGTCAAATAGTCTCTTTCCTTGACAAGAAAAGTAATCTCAAACAAGCCATTTTAGTGAAAGCAGCATGAAAATTTCCAAGCTCACCTCTCAACTAAGCTCTTAAGGTCAGCGCAGCCTGACATCTCCTTGAGCGATACCCACAGAAGTCCAAAGTATGTGGAAGTTGATCATCACTTACTATACGTACAACTCATCAATGTGGACGATTCAAGGGGAAAGAAGCTTATTCTTCAGTTTGTTGATGGTCTTAAGTGAAAGAATGGAATTTGGGCACTGAGTGTCAGGGTTATTGCAAAAGTTAGACAAAGTACTGGAGTGATTTCTGATTGAAAACTAAATTTTATGATTAGAAATTTATAATTTTTCTGATACTGAATTTTATTTTCTGGCTGAAAAGAATATTACAGTTCCAACCCACACCACAGATTCATATACTGATGGAATTATGTTCACAACTCCAGAAAATAAAACCTTATTCACAACTTCTACTAGTTCAAGTTATTTTTAAGGGGGGGAACACCTATCTGTATGTTTAGTAAAGTCTGAGTCTGTTGCTTGTCCACATTCCAATTGATAATTGGAGGCTTCTACAGTCTCTGAGACGGAGGAAAGGAGAGGAGGAAAAAGGGTGATTCATTTGGGATGGAGTGGTAACAAAGCACATAAAACTGATATCCAGCGTCTCCTTGCCTCACCTGCCTCACTTGTACCTAGTTTTCTCCACTACCTATATCTCTTATACTTAAAGCCAAAGAAAAACAAACGGCAAAACCAAAATGTTTTAATCTGTCACCCTTAACCACAAATTACAAAACGCTTTCCCATCTCCCTCCCTAAAAGTAATCTTGCTTTGAAATGCTCAAGCTGCTGAATATTAAAAAAAAAAAAAAAAAAAAATGTGATAGCGAGACAGTGAGGTCCTGCCTCTTTTGCCCCCCTTGGTCCTGGTTCAGCTGATACTGTTTAGCAGATAAGTCTAGAGCATGCACCCTTCCAGAATCAGCTGAATTTCACAGTCCCTAAATTCTAAACAGAAGTTATGATTTCTTTCCACAGAGTAGCACTATAAATCTAGTGAAGAAAGAGAGGTAAAGAAAATATAGAAATTAAAAGGCCATATTAATTAAAGAGCCAAATCCTTAAGACAACAATAAAACATATGGTTTCTAAGAAACTAAAAATATCAGTCAATGAATTCTGTGTATGGTAATTTCCAAACCATGCCTAGGTCCCTGATAAGCGTCTCCATCTCAGAGTGCATAAACTGTATTTTTTAAGTCTCTTCACATCAACCCACCCTAATTCCCAGAACTGAGGACCCTATTCTGGTACAACCCAGTGTCACATACTCACATCCATGTTTTCTGTAGCGCTAACTAAGCCTTGACACACACTCTTGGTGTTCAGAGAGGAATGTCCAGGGGTACCTAGTGCCAAATTCCCCAGAAACGCGCTCTCTCTTCTAAAGGAACTATCATCTCCCTGGTTCCTGAACTTTCTTTATCAACAGCATTCCTAGTCTCCGCATGTGGAGACCCAGTATCCGGTGACCCAAGGTTACCTGGGTGGGGAGGGAGGGGGCAGGGTGTGCAGGAAGCGGGGGAAACGGACACTTCCAAGACCTAACTATAACACCTCTGTGCTTTGATGGAATTAAAAATGAATGAGGGACTTTGGGATCAATCCCTGTCCTCTAAGTCCCTAAGTGGTGAGAAGACAGACTCTGCGGAGTTCTGGTAGCATTTGACAACCATTCCACTAGACCCATGTTCCACCATAAAGGTCTGAGAAAAGTCACTCCCTGAGCTCACGTCCAGGGAGGCTCCCCTATGTCAGGAATACATTTCATCCTCTTCATCAAGAAACCCTGAAACACTCTGCCTTTCCAAAGGAAACAAAATATTTAGTGTAAAGGAAGTTTACTCACATACTCCTAAGACAGATGCCCTTGGTGAGTTTCAGAGAACTGAGCCCTAAGAGCTAAGGTGGCAATGAGAAGCAGCCTCTGAGCTCCGGCGACAAGAGCTCAGTGAAGCCCCGAGCCAGGTGATGCCTCTCATCGAATCCCCACCCGACCACCAGCAGTTCGTCCCTTCCCGAAGCCTCTCCTCCTCTCTTCGGATGCCTTTCGGCTCAAGGGCACTCCTGCAGGTCCCAGAGCATCCTCCGCACCACCCGTCCCGGCAGGACGTCGCCGGAGCCCACGTCGATACTCCCGGGGCCCCTGGCTCCCGCCCCCGCAGGCTGCCCGGTCGGTGACTCACCTGCTGGCCAGGTTGGGGCGCCGGGTGGTAGCAGGCTGTGGGGCAGGTTGCAGCTGCCACAGGGTTGGGCAGATACTGGGGCGCTCCATACGGCTGGGGGTGATACATCACCTCCGCACAACTCATGGCAGCCGGGGCAGCGGCGGCCCCCGAGCTGCCGCCGCCGCTCTGCGCGCTCGCGCCACCGGCGCCGCCGCCGCCTCTGTCGCTGCTCCAGCTGCTTCTGCGGCGAAGGCGGGTCCTGGGCGGCCGCGGGCTCCGCGCGGGGCGCGGGCTCGGGAGGGGGTGGCAATCAGCGGCGGCCCATGCGCGGGCACCTGCATCTTCAGCCCGCCGGTGGCCCCTGCCCACGCTTATCGAGCGGCTCGGGGACGCAGCGGCCCGCCGCGCAGCGCGGGCATGACAGCGCCGGGCTCCGGCGGGGGCAGCGGCGCCCGGGGCAGCGCCAGCCGCAGCCGCAGCTCCGGCCCGGGTCGGGCAGCCCTGGGCGCCGCGGCTCTGCTTTGCATAGACACAGTGCACGCCTGGGGCTCGTCCTATCCCCGGCGCGCCCGGCTGGGCGAGGACGGGGGCGGGGGCAGAGGGAGGGACGGCCGGGGAGGAGCGGGCGCTCGGCGCCTCCGGGGCTCTGAGCGCGGCTGGCGAGCTTCCTCCCCCTCGGTCCGCGGCGGGCGGGTCGTGAGGATGGGGCACCCCGCGGAGGGCCGGCTGCGGATTGGAGCAAAGTTGGAAGCCCTCCCCGCCTCCCAGCGTGGGACGGTGGTGGAGGGGAATGGTATGCGAGCGGCTGCGCTCCCTGCGAGCAGCGCGGCTCCCACCCTGTCCGTCACCTGGCCTCATGGGCGAGGCTTCCCAAGCCCACGGAACTTCTGCAGGGAGCTCCAGCGCAGAGGCCAAGTGTGCTGAGAGGTGGAACAGAGCGGTGCAAAACGCCCTGGGATCAGCTCCTGCGTTAAATATAGTTGTAAGTGAGAGCTGACTTTATTGCAAGTGCGCACATGCCAAGAATGCAGCACAGTTTTCTACAAGCAATCTCCGCCTTAAGTTTCCGTCTTGATACTATGACATTCTTGTGGGACGTCAACCTGTTCTGGCTTTTCCTGCCTGGGTTCCACAGAGCGACAGACAACAAGAGTCGATTAAACCCGTTCAGCTACTATTTAAAGGTTTATCTATTTGGAAGTGGCTTATAACCCTCTCCAAAATGAAAAGGAAAATCTGCTTGTAGGAATATAACTGTATTTTGATAGAATCAGGTAAAGTAGAAAAGAAATATACTTATTTCATAAATGAGCAAACTCTGACCTTTAACCCTATCTCTCCTCCTTTATACAGGTATCCTCTTTTGTGACACACAACAATCTCTCTGATTTTCACAGAGATTATCCTTTGTCTGAGGAAAAGTCAATCTGATGTCAAACGTACTGATGTTGTTATGGTCTGAATTCTGTCTGTCCCCGAAAATTCATATATTGAAGTCCTAATCCCTAATGTGGCAATGTATTTGGAGACAGGGCCTATAAGGAGGTAATTGAGGTTAAATGAGGTCATAGGGTGGGGCCCTGATCTGGGCCTGCTGTCCTTATCAGAAGAGAAAGAGACAGGGGAGATGGCACTCTGCACTGGCACAGAGAAGGGGCCTTGCGAGGTGTCCCAGCCAGAAAGAGTGGTCTCCCCAGAAACGAACTCTGCTGGCACCTGACCTAGGCTGTCCGCCTGCAAACAGTGAGACAATAAATTCCTGTTGTTTAAGCCGCCCAGCCGGTGGCATTTTGTTATGGCAGCCCTAGCAGACTGACACAGATGTACAGTACTAATATGTTATTAATCTTTATAGTGTGTGTGTGTATAACTCCACAGACACATACATACCTAAATACTATACACTCACACGTGTACACACTCAAACATACAAATAAGCTGTTATAATTGGATAAGAACTCTTTGCTAACCATAACAGCTCTTATGTACTCACTCATTCTTTCATCCATTGAATATTAAGAATATACTTACTCAGGGCTTACACAGTGTGGACTTTAAATGTGCTTTTTGTAGTGGAGGAATATTCCTACCAATAAGATTACAAGGATTTATTTAAAATGGTTATTACTGCCTTTCCCCAAATTGACTTCCCCAGGTCACATCCCTTTCTCATGTTGCAGATTCATCTATTTGACTTCTGTCTAGATGGCTCCACATAGATGTCCCATATCAATCTCAGTCATGATAGCACTATTATTTTTCCCACAGCCCCAACCTGATCCTCCTCTTTTAATCTCCATCTCAGATATTGAAAGTCCCACCCATCAGTTACTAAGCTAGGCATCTGGGAAGAATCCAGCATTCCTTCCTTCTCCTCACAGTCTGCACATCTGGTCTTGGAGTCCACTTGATTCCAACTTCTACATTTCTACTGACTCTCTCCCCTCATCTCTTTCTCTCTGCTGCTACAATCCTTGATTCAGTCAGCATCTCTTGGCTACGCTCCTGCCAGAGCCTCCTACCTGATTTCCAGCCTCCAAGTTGAACCCCCTTCTGAGCCATTCTTCACAATTATCCTCCTACTCGTTTGTCCCAGCCACTGCAAATCCAACAGAGTCATGATATTTTATCCCTCTTTTAAAAAATTTCACAGTAGCTCCCAACAGTCTTCAGTCACAACTCTTTAAGTTTCAAATTCTGGCCCCTGCCTGTGACCCCATCTCCTGTGACTGTCCATACAGCCACCTGTATTGAGAACTCCCTTTCCAGGAAGAAGCTATGGTGTCCCCTCCACCAGTCCTTTTTATACACGACCAGAACATCTGCACCAACACCCTCCACCTTCTTCACTTGCTAACTTCTTTTTGTTCTTCAAGGAATCGTCTTCGATAACATCCGTTGAAGACCAACTTTGATGGCCCTGCTCTCAGCGGCGCCTGCACGCCGGGAACACTGCTCTCCCCATAGCAATGACGTGATTTGAAACTGCTGATTTGCTCCTTCCCCTAACACAACCATGGCTGCTTGAGAGCAAGGACAGTGACTTTCAACTCTGAATTTTGATCATGTAAGGCTTGGCTTAATAAACATTCATTGAATAAATGTAGTATAAAAAGGGGAGGAAAAACTCTTAAAGGAGCTTGCAAACTTGTGGAGGATCCAAACACTTGAAATCAATGAAGGTCAGAATATGGAACACGGTTTCAGGACTCTGTTTCAGGCTTTCTACTGCATATTAGAATGAAGTCCTTGTGACATGAGGAAATTTAGGACCTACAGTGTTAAGTGACTAAATTAGGCCAGAAAGCTAGTTTGTGACAGCAGCCCTTCCTTAACCACAGACTTCCTGTTTTAAGTACTTAACGCCTCCCACTTTATCTTCAAATAATATATCTGTAGTTGATTATTGTTTGGTACAATTATGTGTTCAATATCTGTCTCCTCCGTTAAACTACTGCAGAGACCATTTATATCTTGTATAGCTAACATTTGGAAGATATTCAGTACATATTTGTTGACTTAGAAAATAAAGCAAGAACTAGATCCAACATGTCCATACTTCTAATTCTGCATCTTCCTTTGTGCCTCACAAGGCCTATAGTAGGCTGTAAATATTTAACGTATGGCAAAGGTGTAGTTCTTGCATACTAACGAGTCATGCACTCAAAAGTATGGTGGTATTGGCAAAATCTTCCTATAATGCAGTATCTTTGTTTTGATACCTCCCTTCATTTCTACATTGTACTAGTGGAAGAAAATTAGACAATATAAATAAATTCTGCCCAGAATTAGAATCCAGAAGGACAGACAGAGTAGAGGGAGAAAATAACCTGTCAAAGGTCTTTGTTTGCTCATTAATGCAAAATAGGAGAATCCCTGGTAAGGAGAGCTAACAGGAGCTAACAAGAGTTCTAGTAGGAGAGCAGATGTACCTGACTTCTCCCAGAGGTTTAGGGTTTTAGAACAGAAGAGAATCAAAAAGATCGTCTAGTCTAAAACATCTTTCACAGAAAAGCAAACATGTGGTCTGATTAAAGTCTCCCAGGGAACTGGAGGCAGAACTGAATCCAAAGCCCCAGGTCTCTTGACTCTTAATTTAGCTCTCTCTCTATCATCCATGATAAGGATACACTAACAAACACACATGTATATTTACATGCATGCATGCATTATACACGTGTACATATGCACACAAGTACCTATTTATACATATTCATTTATGCACCTACATACATACGTGCACGCACGTAAGAAGAAGTTTTAGATCAGATCATCCTTTGGTCAACTTGGGGTTGTGGAAAAGGAGTTGGTAGGGAAATGTAGGCCAACTGCATTTAACAACAGTGAGTCACCCAGTTCAGAGAGTGCCATCTGACCACTGGTGTACTCATTGTCATGTCTACTATGTAGAGGTGTCACACCTACTTGGAATAAAATACCAATGGGATGGAACTTGACTACTTACATTTCTGAGCTAAAGTTGCTCAAAACTGATCCATTTATCTTTTCTCCTCCTCTTCTCACACTGCTCCACCTCTCTTCTGGTTCAGTGCTGATGTGGAACTCAATCCTACCTGTCTGGTGTTTATCCTTCTACTCTTTTCTATTCCAGCCACAGCAACTTTAATAGAACACCAAAATGATCTTAAATGTGCCCAATTCTTCTGAGTCAGGGGCTTGTAGTCACTATATGTTTGACCCCACTCACCAAATTTTCCAGAATGTTCCCAAATTTTCCAGCTGGAACTTAGTGAGGAGAACTCCCCAAACCAGGTTTATTTGAAGGGGTAACCTGAATTGGGTATGTCCAATATCTCTTGGGATAAGACAGGGCAAAAAGAGGGGCAGCTTTTGTTTTTGAGTCATGATAGCCAAACTTGTCTTTAACTTGGGGTCCCAGTGTAAGAGAACATATGAGACCTATAGCACAGGTGTTGGATATCTCAAGCTGTGTATCCAAGCCCTCTTCCCCAGCCACCAAACAGCTGACTGTGGCCAGCCCTCCGGCCTCAGCTGAGCACTGAGCGTACAGCCTGCTCTAGGAAGCATGCTCTCAGGAAGTGGACTAAGGTTGTCTACACAGGAAATTCCCAAGTCTTGAGTACAGAAACATTGTTGTTCTAGGCAGAATAATGCCTATGCATATATTTACCTTATACAGCAAATGGGAGTTAAGAT